TTCTGCTGCTGGCAAGACTTCTTCCAAATATTGCTTAATGATTGTTGATTTAATTTTTTATAAATAAAATTTGGATGGATATTGCTTATAGCTTATAATATCCTCTCAAGAGGTTATTGTCAGAGCTTTCGAACACCGGATCTTGAATTTCAATAAATCATAGCACTGTCACTGTCACTTTAGTTTGAAAAGAGAGATACAAATCAATTTAAGCGAAACCTGTAAAAGATGAATGACTACTCAACCGAATAAATCCAGTACAAGCTCCAAAAAGGAATAGTTTCCTCCAATGTTTATAATATAAATAGTGCCAGGGAGTTGTACTTGTGTTCCTAATGAGAATAATTGTAGCAATTAATAAACGAACAAAGTGATCCACCTAACTTAAAAAAGAGATAATACCAAAATCATATAATAAAGGGAAGTAGTCATGTACAACTATATATTTCAAAGCATTTAATTTTGAAGATCCCGACTTTATAAATTTATTTTTAAAATAAAATGCCAGGTAAAAGCTAAAGTTTACCGACCCTATTAAATAATAGACAACTATACTCAAATAAATGCAGAGAATATCTTGATATATCTCAGTATGACACACTAACAAGGAGCTAACATAGCAAAGATATATCAATGCCAAAAGAAAATAGCTTGAGCTCCGACATAAAAATTTTCACTAAATAGTTCACTAACATTCACATTTTCCACCATTATTAAAATCCTTTCTTGAACACCACAAATTTCACCTTATAAAATAATCATGGTATTCAATTGTTGGAGGCAGTCATTAAGCTTAGTACATTAAGATGGTTCAATATTTTCAATCTAAAGTTTTCTACATAATAACAAATGCTGTATTATAGTATGTTTATCATAAGGTACTGCGCCGTATTGTTTAGATTGCCAGAATAACAAAAGAAATAAAAATATTGAACATATCATATTCATCTCGCCTTCAGTCCCTTCCGAACTCTTATGCAATGAAATTGCCGCTATTAGTAAGTTTTTAGCACAATAACCTTATACTTTCAAAATATATTATTTTAATGAGCTAAAATTTATTTATATATTATATATGGTCAGTCAAATCTCAATACTTTAACTAAACTTTTTGCTGTTGTCTTTTCATTAATATTCGAACCCTTCTAACGACTAAATAGTTTCTTTTCGTCATAAGATGCGTCACATTCGACAAATAAAATTAAGTTTAATTAATTTATATGTTTTTAATAAGAGATAATTGGTCAATTAATAATTATGTTAATTATATTTAATAAAACTTTTGTTTTTTAAGAAGAAAATAAATAATTCACAATTCTTCAATTAGTTTTTGGTCGATATTCCGTATATATGCTATAATCATTCTCATGGTATTAATATAACACCAATATATATTGCAGTAATGTAGCAACAAACTAAATAAATAGGTATAATATTATAACAATGGCAATACGGTCATTACTACTTTTAAGATAGTTTTATGTAAAACATCCTTGACTTAAAGTTGTTTAACATACCTTCTGCTCAAAAAGTACTCGGATTTTGTAAATAAAACACACAAATTTAAATTTTATTCTAAATTTATTTTATCTCCTTCAAAATATGCTTCTTCTGAAGCGATACACATATACCAATGCTTAACCCAATCTTCCATACACTTTTCGTAGGGCCGTGCAGGTATGGCTTTTAGTTCCTTCAGCGAATTCTCTTTTACCGATTCAATCGACTTAAAACGCTTACCACAAAGGGGCAATTTGAGTTTCGGAAACAGGAAAAAGTCGCACGGATCCAGATCTGGGGAATATGGTGCCTTACCGATGACAGTGGTGCCGTGTTTGGTAAAAAAAACGAGCACAACAAGAATTTTTCATAGTAAAAATCGCTAAATGCACTTGAGGTAGTCTCACATTAACAGCTGCTGTAAACAAAGTAATTGACAGATGGCGCTCATATTTGTATCATATGTCAAGAAAGAGTGTACCAACATAACAAAACAAAATTTTTGAAAAAGGTCTATTACTTAAGGAGTAGTAAACGAACAACAAAATCCGGATACTTTTTGAGCAGAAGGTATTCAAGTCAAATGATATGCCTCTTGGCCATATCCTTCAGTGAACTCGTGTCACAGCGCTGGCTGGCTTGTTCTCTATTATTCTCAATGTCTAAATTTTGTTTAGTCATAGGTATGTGTTAGGATAGATGCATTGAAATCGAGAAAAAAAAATAAAATTAATTACTTAACATTATAGTACAGATGTGAAAATGTAATAAGTATTAAGTAAAATAAAAATTATAATTGCAAATAGCAATGTGGTGTTTGAAACGTAGCTTTTAATATTCTAATGAGATGACATATTTCTGAAGAAACATTAATTAATTGCAGAAATGTTTGTTATTCAGGTTATTTAGGATGATTCAAGAAAATTGCATTTGACAAGTTAATAGTTGCAATTTGCATAAATACTTTCAACGACTTTGGGTCCATGATGTATGGTTCGAAGTACATTTTGCATTTTGCATTTTGCATTTTGCTAAATGCGATGCAAGATTGCAGCGTTAACTGAATAAGAATTTATGCACATTTTTTATCTTATTCATACACAAAGCACACAATAATCTACGTAATCTCCATAATGCAATATCGCGCACACCTATCCGAAAAGCAGGCATGACCATGTAAAATGACAGCAACAATTACAAATTGCAATATATGCAGGCGTTTTAAATAATGTCTTAACCTTGGAATAGGCGCATTAAAGCATGAGGAAAGCGCAATCATACGCCTCAAACTCGTGTGGAAGTGTAGGAATAACAACGACTCTGTGGCAGTTCATTGGACTGATGCTAATTGCAGCTTAGGGGAAATTTCGAAACGGAAGTGTTTAAAAAACACTTTTGCAGAAAAAGTTTCGTATGTTATCTCTAAGTTTGAGATTTCAATCGGATTTCGTTGCAAACAAGTTCTGCTTTATTGGTCCGCTTTTATTTTATTATTTTTTCAACCAAATCCGAGTGCAGTTTGTTGTTGCAATTTTGCTTTTTTAATAAATTGATTACAAGAAAAAAAAAATGAAAAATTATTATAACGAAATTGCAACTCTCTGATTGACAAGCAACTGATCAGGTTTCTTTATATATCACAGCTCTTTCCCTTCAACAATACTTCAAAACTGAACCAGTTCGTTGTCCATATTTGGCCTTCAACATCTTTACTCTAATCTAAGAATGATCAAGTGCAGTAGGTTGTTTTGTTTACTAAGCTCTTGTGAATTTGATGAAATTGCAAGTACAGAGAACACTCAAATAATGCGGAGATTTATTTTGAATCTCTATTTTGAATCTTTAACTTGTATAATATTTCGGAAAATTGATGTAGTTGTATTAATGGTAAGAACTATTGTTTATTAACACTTTATAAACAAAATAGCACAAAGCAACATACTAAAATTAAAAAATGTACAGCTTCCGATTACAAAATGTGATATACAAAAGTTCTTGAGTAGTTTCGTGAATCGTACCTGAATTTAGTACGACACTACAAATCTTTAATAGATTCAGTGGAGCATAGAGCCTCAAAAATTCTTCTGAACCGCATCTTATTTGGAGCTGCTATGCAGATAGCGTTTCATGAGTAGCGTGCTGATGTTAGTTTGGCATCATTTTAATAGGTAAGTTCTATTAAATTTTTTTTTTTTGAAGAACTTGGTAAACCGCTAGACCTAGCATAAATAGCATTTTCAGCTTTACCAAAGTTTGAAAGCTATTTCAAATTTCTAAATAATAATAATAAGGCCTAATAAGGCCCAAGTGGATCACTTTTGATAGCCGTTACAACCTAACCCAACCCTAGTAAACATGGTGTACCTATTCAAATAAATACATTTTTACGGTTTTTTGATTACTGTGATTTTTGTTTACTGTTCCGAACAATAACAATAACAATCACATTTTAAATAACTTACATTAAAGAACTTATATTGATGATATATTATATTATAATATATATTTGAAACAAATATATATGTGTGTTTTTTATTTAGTAATATGTAATACAATAAAATCGAAGACTCCGGATTTAAAAATATCCGATTTTTTTTTCAGCTCCGTAGACTTCATTGCTTATAGCTTAACGTCCTATAACGTGTTGTGCTTTGATTCTGCCTTATAGCATTGTTTGCAGTACTTCATATTCAGTACAACGAGAGATATGATCCAAATAAGCTGTCTTGCGACTCTTAATAATTGTTAGCAATTCTCTTCTTTTTTGACAACGTCTTAGACGTTGCAGTACTTCATATTTAGTACATCGAGAGATATGTTCCAAATAAGCTATCTTGCGACTCTTAATAATTGTTAGCAGTTCTCTTCTTTTTTGACAACGCCTTAGAAGTTCGTCAGTTGTTACTTTGTCGCACCAGAGTCAGAATAACATATGTCAGGATTATGATTTAAGTTACGTATAATTCAAATATCTTTCATTAAGACTTAGATATTGCACTTAACATCTATTTGAATCATTAGAACGGTCGTTTCAATAAAAAACACACTTTACCTTTATTTTACTGCCAAATTATTTTGTATTCGATTCTTCTTTCAGTACTTACTTGGCTTATGAAATCAAAATAAAATTACTTTAAAATTACTCCTAAAAAAATCCATATTTTATATTCTATATCTGAAATTACTTATAAGTACAAGTAAATACCTGTACTTTTGAAGCAGTAATATGATGATAGATACAAGATACTCATGCAAGGAACTATCGATATTTTTAAAAATCGAAGTTCGATTTCAAGTAACAAATTGAAAACTGATCATACTTTTGACTTGTTTTTCCAAACAGTTTAGTTGAATATACAAGATATAACAAAGAAGAATTTTATTTTTAGGAAATGGCTTCTTAAGGGGCACTGAACTGAGGAGTTTATATTTATATACATAAAAACTTTCCTGTTTATGCTGTATTAAGAAAATCATTAATTTAATAAAACATAATGTACCTTTGTTCTATATAGTGGATTACTGAAGTCCCAGTCAGGTGCTACGAAAAGATAACCACATTTCGAAATTTTTCGTGAAGCCTGAAATGTTCAAAAAGATATATAACATTATTATAAACATATACGTGTAATAATAAAAAATATATAAATAAAATTATAACAGCATAAAAATGTGAAAATATTTTTTAACGTAATTATATATAAATACAAAAATTATAAATAATAACAACTTAAAAAAGTAATAGCTTAATTCGGATATTTATTTATAATAGAAAATATGAAAAATTCATAACACTCACACTAATGTCAAAACTATATACCATATTATGAATACAATATACTATATACAACAGCTTCTCAGGACATAGAGTGCCCACTTTGAAATAAATATATCTACTACTAATAATATGAAGTTATTTAAATCTTTTATTTTCACATTATCTTATAGTAAAAACATTATCTGTATTAATAAACATAATTGGTTTCGATTCTCAAAATACCTCTGCAATGCTTTATTCCTTCAACTTATATGTATATGGTGTGCAATAGAAGAAGGAATATGCATAGATCGTTAACTTTTTATCAAGTCAAAGTAGAATCTATATAGTTTACAACGGTTAGGTGAGTTTAGGTTAATTTGACGCATAGACCCAAGGATCTATTTATATTAATTTTATAGTAGAGATTTTTGTAAATGTAAGAAAAGCTTACAACTTTACTTTTACGACAAGACCAACGAGCAATGTACACAAAATTTTTTAAGCTGAATTTTTAAATCTGACCATAGTGAAATTTAAATAACACCCTGTATACAGTAGTGTTAGTACATTAGCATCGTATTATTAGGACAATCCTATAAGGTCTAGGCTATTATATTTCTTGTTCTTGTATGCGTGTGTACCTGAGTTGGTGATTCATCACCTTGGCTCTATTTTACCTGTAGACTGTTTTAAGTCACACTAAGAATAACTAAATACGGGGCCTTTTTGAAATGATGGGTCTAATGTCTTTGTATCTGCGTGCGTTTATCAGGTTTAGCTGTGTTTTTAGGTTGTTCCTATTCTATTTATTTACTGTAATACAAACAACTTAATATATTTAATATTTTTCATGGCGTGAAAAGTGTACTTGACTCTTTCACTGATAGATAAATGTCACTGATAGTCACCCATAGATTGGAGAAATGTCACTGGTCTAACATCGTCCTAAAAATTTAAAAAAAAAACACTTAGAAATTCCAAAAAACTAACCTTTGTAATATATATATCCATATTTTTAGACATTCTGACCACTAACTGACAAATTGTGATGGTCAGAATGTGACTATCAGTAATTTTGGATGGTTGTGATGTGAATTAACTTTTGATATATACAAAACTATGAATAAAAAGGAGTTTCTGTGCTAATTAAATATTGATTTTTTTATTTGGCTAGAAATGTTTATAAAAAGGAATTTTTTTATTAAAACTTGCCTCTGCAACCAACAAACTAGCTCGAACACACTTCTGCTTATTTACTAGATTTTAAAACTTCAAATTTTCTTAGCCGTGTTTAGTAAACAAATTTAGACGTGTTTAGTATATTGTACAAGTGGTTTCTGGGTAATGAGAACTTCAGGTGTGCAACCCCACCGATCCATCAATTTTTTGATACAACAAATTTAGTTTCATTATCAAGTTTTTCGGTTTCCCGAAACTGTAGTTATTTCTACTATGTACTATAGAAATGCTATGTCTTAAAACATACGGCACAACTAATAATTTGTTGGGTAATTTATTAAAAGGGCACTACTACCTGGTGTTAATGTTATGTATTTTCTTCTGTGAAAATGAAAAACTATTTATCCACATCTAGAGCAAATTGACACAATTATATTGTAAAAAATATTTGTAACTTATCAATACATTATCCCTATTGGAGCATTCTAGTATATATTTATTTTTATTGACTATGTACATATGGTATATAATGACAGCCCCTTATTTCTCTGATTATTCTTCTCTATAGTTAAGAATTAAGATTCCTTTATGAATTTAGTACACCGTATTTATTGCTTTTAGAGTAGTAGGCAAGTTTATTTTAACGACTATCTTTTTATTCCACTTCACTGTATTTTTACTAATTTTCTTGATCAATCATCACTCATAAAATAATAAACCTTTATTTAGCTTATCGTAAATTGAGTAAATAATTATGAAAATAATATTGAACAGCTACAAAAACTAGTAACTATGTATTTATTTAAGCTGACTTTGTTTGAAGACACATATGTATCTTGGAAAGAATTAGACAAAGTCGTTCATAGTTCGTAGTCAACAATTTTAGAGATATTTAAAAATATTTAAATTAATTTTTTAAGTTGATAATTACTATATCAACCGTGAAAATATTCTGGAATTTCATAAAAGAATTTTTATTTATTCAAATGAGTTAGTATCTCATAAACATATTATATACAAAATATATGTGTGCTTATTTAGTATGAGTTATCTGAAGAGCTTAAAATGTAGGCCGATTTCGTTTAAAAAGTATTTATTTTTTATTATTTTATTAGCCATTTTAGCGCTTTTGGTTTGTTAAATATCAACTGTATGCAAGTGTTAAGCAATGTTTATCTCTTATAAAAATTTTAATTAAATTAAATAAATGTTAAAGTCTGACCTTTTAATGAAGACGTTTTAATGTTTTTGTTTAATTGCATTTTCTTAAGTACTTATATTTGAAGCAATTGAAATGAAAAAATTGACGAAACTGTGCAACCGGTCACATGAATAGACTAGACTACACACCTTATGATAATATGATGCACACGAAGTAGGTTTGGACTAAAATGGTTGTGTCATCTCAATACATATCGAAAGTAGCAACGCCAGTCGAGTGTTGTACGAATACAACACACTCTCGTTATAGTGAAATATATAATGTCAAGACCTTTTTGTTATTTCCAATAGGTTTTTTAAATTTGATTTTAGCGTCAGTTATGACGGTAGTGACTACTTCACTTGATAGCAACTATCGTATTTAATAGAGAGTAAATTGTAACAAAAAAAAATTTTTTTTATTGCTGATTAATTGAATTTTTGTCTGACCATATCTTTCGCTCAAAAAGTATCCGGATTTTGTTGTTTGTTTACTACTCCTTAAGTAATAGACCTATTTCAAAAATTTTTGTTATGTTGATACACCCTTTCTTGACATATGGTACAAATTTGAGCGCCATCTGTCAATTACTTTGTTTACAGCAGCTGTTAATGTGGGGCTACCTCAAGTGCATTTAGCGATTTTTACTATGGAAAATTCTTGTAGTACGCGATTTTTTGACCAAACACGGCACCACTGTCATCGCTAAGGCACCATATTTGCAAGATCTGGATCCGTGCGACTTTTTCCTGTTCCCGAAACTCAAATTGCCCATTCGTGGTAAACAAATAAGTTTTTGAGTAGATTGAATCGGTAAAATAGAATTCGCTGAAGGAACTAAAAGCCATACCTTCACGGGCCCACGAAAAGTTTATGGAAGATTGGGTTAAGTGTTGGCATATGTGTATCGCTTCAGAAGGAGCATATTTTGAAGGAGACAAAATAAATTTGGAATAAAATTTAAATTTGTGTGTCTTATTTACAAAATCCGAATACAGAATGAGTAGAAGGTACAGCTGTTTCGAGAATTGCCCAATACCCATCATCAGTAGTCTTAGAATTATTTTATATATTTAATTAGTTGTAAATAATTTTTTGACCCTGCAAGCATCAAGGGTTGAACTTGTACTTACCCACATTTGAAGTTTAAAGTCAGAGTCGGAAAAGGTATTTATTTAAGACCTAAACCTACTTGATATAACATACTTGTTTTTTAATGTATTTTTTATTCTAAATAGAGAAAGCTGAAAAATCAAATTCTCTTTTGATTAATTAAAATTTACCTTCCCATATTTGAAGTTTAAAGTCAGAGTCGGAAAAGGTATTCACAAAATTAGGATGTTTGTATATTCAAAACCAAAAAAAATTAGTGTTGGTTAACAGTTTTTTATGATTAGTTAAAATAAATTGATTAACAGACTAACACCGATTAAAACGACACATAACCTTAATGTCTGCTACGAAAGAGGGTTCGTTTAATTTTATGTAAAAGTAGCTTTATTTTTGAAAAACTGAATAACGCCACTACCTATATCCTAAAGACAAAAAAAGGTAAAGTCAAAGGTAGTAAGGTTGATCTGAAGTCTGGGTGTTTTATATTATATGCCACCAAATTTTACTCCATTATTTTATCCTTTTGATCAAAATGCTGTTCGCTTCATAAAGCTAATTTATAGAAACAACTTACAGTAATTACCTAGTATGCGATATTTCTAATTGCTATATTATGGGACAAAAAATAAATAGACGCTATAAAAGAGAGCTGAAAAATTTTTTTATCTAAATTATCGCAAATTAAAGATAAAGCGGACATAAGAAAAGCGCCGTACTGAATAAAACATCATTTATAAGATTAATATTTGTGATTTTCAAGCAAACTTCAGTACATAAGATTCACACTTTTAACACCAATGTTAAAAGTATACCTACTGAAGTATATTTTAAGTATAAAAATCAATTGGGTTTACGAAAAAGTTGTGGAATTCTATAACGTATTTGTTTTAAAAATTTAAGTAAGATGAAGACGTGAATACATCTGAAGCATCAAGGAACAACAGTATAAATGCAGTAAGTTTATAATGGTTCGGTTTTTCTCATTTATTTGTAGGAACTTAATAATTTTATTTAATAAAATAAATTTTAGAGTAGAAACCCAAAATAACAAATGACCCACAAAGATTATTTGTCATACTGAACCTACACATGAGTAAGAAAATGTATCAAATATACAGTATTCGCTATTGGTTAAATGATTGGTTGCAGTGACAGGCCTTTAGATGACTTTCATGTATCTCAATTAGCGATTTTTCGCAGTTTTGCTACCACATTCCTCGCAAAAATCCCTTGTATAAAAGAGTAGAGACAAGAGTAGAGACTAAATCCGGTCGAATTTAGATAATTTAATAGGTATCTCGTCTTCACCGTTGAACAGTCTGATAGAC